ATACATTTAAAGATTAACTTTTGACTACTTAACTAACTATTTGGATATGCTTATTTAGTTATAGGTCTGTTTGTCCGTCTGTCTGTCTGTCTGCATCATTCTGAGCACAGTTTGGTGGCGTACTTCAACTGTCGTGACGTCATCATCTGAGACAAAAGAAAAAATGTCAATCATTTTCGTAGGTCATTGAAAAAGTACTGATATGTGTTAATTATTTTTATTACCTTTGGTTTATAGTAGTTCATCACTGTTGTCTTTTTTAAACTTATGGGCCTCCTGTGTGGACAAAGAAACGAATGCAAAAACAAAGCGAAATAAGAAGTGGATGGGTGAATAAAAAAGCGAACGATTGAATAAATGAATGAAAAATGAATAAAAGAACGAATGGGTGTGAGGGAGAAAATAGAAGAAGAAAGAAATGGATGGTTAAATCTGTTTAATGAATGAAGCAATCAATCAATAGGACAACTAACACGAAAAGGTATGAATGAGAAGACTGGAGATGAAAGATGTAAACCAATCAAAGAACAGTTCCGGTTCACGAAATAAAACAAACTGAAGAACGAAAGAGGGTACCTCTTTTATTGGGGGAGGGCTTGGGCTTTCGAGGGGAGGGTCAATATTAAAAGAAAATAACTTTTTTGGCAGGTCAAACATTTTTATTTTCTGACGAAAGATTTTTCCTTGTTAACTCTATAGGAGGGTCATATATTTCTTACCGAATAAAAAGGCGAGGGCTTTAATTATCTGAAAAAAGTTTAAGAATCCTGCAGCCTTCTCTCACCAAAAATAAAATGTACCTTCCCAAATGCATGTAACAAAAGTGTTTCAGTACTCACCCAACTATCCACAGCCATTAACATCTGCTACAGCCTCGATGACCATCACATCATTCTACTCCACTTTGGTACGTTATCAATACATTCTACAGCTTACTCGTAAATCATTGATAACCGAATTGATATAACTATATGTATGTCTAACTAGCTAAACAAATCGCCTCTTGTCTCCACTAGTAGCCATAGCAACCCATCAAAGTTAAGATATCTTGAATCCTTCAAGATTTCTTAACTGCATACAAAATTCTGAC